AATAAATCAGAAATATTCAATTTGTCTGCTATCTTGTCAGTGGTCTATTATTTCCACCATGGTCAATCCCTTCCACCATGATTCGCAAGTGTCAGTTTGTGTTGGTTTCAGTTGATTTGTGTATCAAGTGGCAAGTGCATATCAGTGCACATAAATTAAAGTAGAATGGACTTTGAAAGTCCTGACGTTGAGAAGGAATTTCCCGGATTGTATGCGTCTGAATCGGCGAGGAAAAGTAATGAAAGTGATTGTACGTAATGATTGTTGTTACGTTATATTTATGTTCCGAACGTTAGATATTGTGCACGAGAAATAGAGACAGGTTATGTGATCTGTCAAAATCTAGTCGTAGATGTTATATATTTGCTTCTCTCGCTGTCATTTCACTGTCAGAGATATTTATCTTGCATCATTTATTTTTATACTGCAGTTAGTGACGAGGGCAGCCATGACAAGCATTCCAAGAAGGAGCTTCTGGGTGGAAAACGTAAGGACAAGAAGGACAGAAAGGACAGGGGTTACGCGACCCTAGAGGGTGAGAGTTCGCCGGACGAGGATCAGGAAACCAAGTAATAAATAGAAAACGGACTTATTTTAAATGTTTATGATTAGATATTGTTGCTTGTACTAATTCTGATTTGCTCAGTGAACATTTTATTATAAAAGTCTTTATTATATATATACAAAATAATAATTAATCACAAACTGCTCTTAAAATAATTGTACTTTTTCGAATGTCCTATATAATATTGAGTGTAATATGTGATTTATTACACAGAAGTCCTTCAAAATCAAAAAAAACCAAAGCCTTTAAATTCCCAACTAAAAAGGAGAAGCGGGAAAAATCACGAGAGAAGGAAACAAAAGAAAAAGATGCTGAAAAGGAGAAGGATAAAAAAAAGAAAGAAAAGGATGAGAAGGATGTAGACAAGGAAAAGCGGAAAGATAAGGATAAAGATAAATTCAAGCAAAAATTAAAGGATCGGAAAAAAGGAAAACATGAAGGTTTAGACATTGGCGGTAAGATCATAATTCGTACAAATACAATTGATATATTTTTACTTGTTTTATCAACTTCTTAAAAAAAATATACATATATATTCCTCAGAGGAACAACCAATTTTTGGTGTTAATCTTCATCTGGCAGTTGAAAGAAGCTGTTGTCACGATGGAGTCAAATTACCCTTGGTAATACGAGATTGCATAGATTATGTAGAGGAGCATGGGATGAACGTGGAAGGCTTGTACAAAGTCCCTGGGGTCAAGTCAAAAATTCAGCACTTGAAAAAATTGTATAATAATCGAGAGCCGGTGAATATATCCGAGTTTGAACCCACGGTAGCTACGAGCTTATTGATACTCTTTCTTAGGTTTGTATACCTGTGAATTCTATCCTTCTTCTCACCATGTGTTTTAAGATCAAACGAAAAAGTGCGCATTGTGGTGATGTAGAGAGCTGCCAGAGTCCGTGCTGGAGAATAGCGAAACAATATCACGCTTCGAACAAGCAGCGTCGACCAAGGATGTCGCTCAACGAGAAGCGCAATTGGCCCAGTTGACACAGCAGTTACCCGAATGCAACAGGATTCTCCTCGCATGGGTCACGTTGCATCTGGACAATGTCACGGCACGAGTATGTTCAAAATATTATTAATTCGATGCAAAAGGTTCGTCAGATGAGCTTAGATGCTTAGATCCTTTTGGAGATAAAAATTTTCAATTTTTTTCATTATATTCTAATTTTATTGGAAATAAAAATTGTGAAGCACACAAATTTTCCAATCAATTTAATACATTATTCTCTTAAAATATATATTCCAATTGATTTTCAATAAATTTTACTTCAGGAGAAAACAACAAAAATGAACGCACAAACGATCTCAATGACGTTAAGTCCGGTTCTACAAATGAGTCACAGATTGCTATTGGCTTTATTATTCCACTGCAAAGCTCTATTCCCAAATATACAATTGACAAAATATATACCACCGTTATCGTCCGGTAGTACGAATCTGCCAGATTCCGTGGAGGGTATAGCTGCGGAATTATCCAAACAGGAATCTTTACTGTCCCAAATTCATATGCAAATGAATGCCGGTTTTGTAACGAAATCTCGTGAGGAACAATTATGGGAGGTACAACGCATGATAACGCAACTGAAGGTACAAAGAGCTACAAACGTTCTAAAAATTCGTATCGTATAAAGAGCATTGACATAATAAATTGTACTTTGCAGAGAAAATGTAAGACTGTTCAAAAATTGGAAGGTGCTACACAAAAGAGTCTGGATGAAGAAATAAAGTCCGATAATGTTCCAACGGAATCTATCTCGCAGAAGCCAAAAACTGCAGACGAAAATTCTGGACAGGCAATATCTGGTGATACTCAATCGTCAACCAATCCGACATTGATAAAAAAAGACAACAAATTGCATAGCGCAGAAGAGACGAAAGAGAAGTGTTCTTGCTCAGGTAACAGTACGAATGCCACGCAAAATGAACAAAATGTAAATGTACAAGAGAAAGATGCGGTCGATTCCGCAGTTGAGGTTGCAGTCACACCGCAAGAACCTGAGAATATAACGCCGAATGACAAAGCAAATGGTACATGATTAATAGCATATAATTTCTAATACATTCTTAAGCTAAGTACACATTATCATTAATTTATATACAGAGTCTGAAGAAGATGTCATAGACAAATTGCGAGAAAGGCTGATCTATGAGGAATTGTTGAACATGCAAGCGTTATTAAAATCTCGCATCAGTCAAGAGAAAAATGAGATCAAACGATTAATGGAGATGTTGACGGAGCACAGCACAAAAGAAGAAAAAAAGAAGCCCAAAGAGAAGAGGACACATTCTCCTAATGAAGCCGAAATGACGGCCATGATACAGCTAGTCAAAGAAAATCAACTACTTGAGGTAAGTTCCTCCACTCCATAACAGCTTTCTTGTTTTACCTCTGTACATTTATACGATTCTCTCTGCAGAAGAAGATGACGACGTTGATACGTAGTATTATCGAGGAGAAAGATGCTTGCGTGGAATTGCGTGTACAACTGGCAGTGCATCAACTAATGGCCAAAACTTGACCGCAGATCTCCTAGCGATCACAGAATCACAACATCTTTACGCTATAAAGATGTGTTCTGACATTACGTTTTTGCACATAATGACCATATATAGTTTATAACATGTTACAATTATCACATGTATCATTAACTTGTTCGATTCTTCCGCGAAATAATGAAATATACAAAATGCAGCCGAATCTTTATAATGTATTTTTATAATTCGAATTCCTCATTGAACACCTAGCGTATAGATATAAGGAAGGAGAGAGGAGTGACATCCTTCAAATATTCAATAAGGTAATAAGAGATTTTTCCTTACAGTAAAAAAAAGCAATATATTATAATAAGAATTCTATACGTATATAATATTTCATATTTCAACACGTCAGCAAAAACATTAACATATTATTATTATATATTAATTACACTAATAAAATTTCAGATAGTTCGGTAAATTAAATCCATACATCGAGTCTAGAACGCACTTTACACATTCTGTCCCTTCGTATAAAAAATGAGTCACTTCAGAGAAAATAAAAAAGAAGAAAAGTTCTCACATTGAGCAGGACAGCAAGAAATTGGAATAGACTGTTAAAACACAAGACTGCTCGAGGCCGAAAAAAATAGAGATGAAAAAGAAAATCTTCACAGTAATAACGAAGCGCGATATTTACTACATATCACACTCTGTCATACATATCTTCTATTTGCGAGTTATATTTTGCTTACAAACTTCAAATTTGCGCATCATGTATCAATATACTCGCTGTAGATGGATTAATAAAACAGAAAAGGTAACTTAGGATTAAGGGACCAATTTATCGTGATCAATGTATATTTACAATATTATCTGATAAAGGTACAGCGCTGAATATTGACCCGTATAGGTTTGCGTATAATCTTGATAAAATGCTGCTTTGTGTATTTTATACGTAGGAAAAATTTGCACACTCGATATAATTTCTTTCTTCGTTTTTTTGTCGTAAGTTTTTTATCTGTGCATTTGTATAAAAATCTATTAAATGTTCTTCGCGCGGCAGGACGCACGTGGAAACTGAGATTGTGCTAAAGACGTTGAGTCAGATTCTCGCATTCATCAGGAAAGAGAATCACGCAGCCTCTATAGCCTTGAAGAGTAAGAATAAGCTCTTGCGAGCTCTATAGTCGCAACGCAACACAACGTAACGCAACGCTGGGTATTCTCTCGGTATATCGTATTGTATATTGTCAAATAAGTCATTGTAATTCGGAAAAGCGACTCGAAACGTTTTATTGAGACAATTATTATCAGCTCGAGATCGTGGAATCCGACTATTGCAACGCAATATTGTACCGCGTTGTGGAAAAGAATTGTGTCTTTACAGGTACATCTTATATTCAATGCGATACTTTTTTCTTTCGTTCGCAGAGAATGAAATCGAGCGACAGATAATACAATAATGTACTTTTACGGCGTCACTATCACAGTGTAATACAACAACTCGCTAAGAATAATACGCGGTACCTACGAGCAGTGAGGGTAGTTTCACTACCTAATCACGAAACTGTATCAGTGTCAGTTTCGCTTAACGATCTGTAATTATAGAAAATATTATATGTGTAACTTTATCACACAGTCATTACAAAGAGACAGCTGAATTGGATTTTGGCGTTCTAATATCGTTTGATTGTTTTACTAATTATAGAGCATTGAATAAATTTTAGGTGGGATATGATCCTGAGGATGCGGCATTTAAAAAGCCTCTACTGTACCTCTGTTCCAAAAAAGATTACCGTTAAAAAAGCATTGGTAAATTATAGCATAAGTATACATATATTAAATTTAAAAAGAATATTATTGCCTGTTCGCAGATGGACACGTAGATTTTTTTTTACGAAGTCTATAAAATAATTTACAAAATATTATAAAAGATGTGTAATATATACGTATAAAAAAATAAAGGAATGTTTCCTCTCTTTCTTTCTCTCTCTCTCTCTTCTATGGCCAATAAATTTTGCAACGATATTTACAATAAAAGAGGATGATTAAAAACATTTCGATATAAGATATCTTAGCGCAACATCCTATATCTTATCCTGTCCATTTTGTTTGTCCATTTCTCGATTATCCCAATTTTATTTTGTTATAAAATATATCGAATATTTTTTATATTTATTTATCTGTCGATGAAAATTTGAACATTTTGATAGTTATGACTCAATAAATATTAATCAATATAGAAGTTCGTGATATAGGATACAATTGAGACAATGCTGTTAGACAGACGATTGCTCAAAATTGCGTGATTTGCTTTATATATAATCGTTTTTATATAGTAAAATTAACGAATATTACTTAACGTCTCGTAATATCTATTTCGTTCATCTATCTTTCTGAAGTAATGTCAATAATAACACAATATAATAACTATATATTCTTAAGTGAATCTTTGTATGATAAATTTAATGATATCCTCATTTACATCGTTCACATTATTCATAACTCACTGGATAATATAGCTTCATAATAGCTCTTTTATTTGAATAAATTTTAAGTAATGAGTGTATCGCGATTTGTGTCTCCCCCCCTCTCTCTCTCTCTCTCTTCTACAAGAATCTGTAATGTTGCAAATGATTTTTTTTTAAGCTGCACGTTGTGTGTACATTCTTAAACGAATGAAAGTCCACAATTTATTTAAAATAAAAATATGTCATTGTAAATAAAAATAATGTTATTGGCTTCCTATTCTCTAAAATGTATACATATAATGTTGAAAACTTTATTGACAAAATGATAAATATGAAGAACCGATACTTGGGAATACTATCAGATTATTAAAAACTACTAAAATATTTCACATAAACTCCATTTTCCTCCTGAGATTATTGTATAAAATTAAGAAACAAAATGTTTTAATAAATCTTTTAAGTGTTTTATTTTAAATTATCATTTGTAAGATTCTAAAAGACTTATTTGTGGGAAGGTTATCAAGGCTTGAGACAATAAAAATATGAAAAAAAATCGACATCAGATACATCATGTTTACATTATTTTAAAAAAACAAGGTAATGCGAAATTAATCTCTATATAAAAGATCTTATCTATCTCTATTAAAATGACTTTTAAAAACAAATGAATACAATAACAAAAAAACATATATCTTTCTCTAAAGTAATTATTGAATTTTTCTTTTTATGTACTTCTGTGAAGATTATAAAAGTATACGATATTTTGAGTGAAAAATATGAAGACGGTGTTTCAAAAAATTCAAATAATATATATTTGTTATATGCTCATAAAACATCATATAATAATAGCTAATTTTAATAATAATTATATGCATAAAATGTTTAAATTTGATCGTTTCATGGGAGATTAGGAAAATTCGAGTATAAAGGTAATAAAAAAAAAATAAATTTTAGCTTTTTTTATTCGACTACGTTGGAAGTAAAAATATTAAAATGTCCAAAATCTTTTTAAAGGTTATATAAACAAGAAATAATTGTAAATTTTATTTCCTTTCAATGTTACTACATGAAAATAAAAATCAATATAAATATAATTTGAGCGGATATATGTATATATATATATATATATATATATATATATATATATATACACGAAGAATAGGAAGCCAAGCTGTAATATGTAAAATAGTAATATTTATTATCTTTATACTCATCTAAAGCCATAATTTTAATTTCATCATTAATTTAGAGTTTCACTCGCACACACATTCAAGCATTTGGCAGGCAAGAACCTAGAAGAATCTATTTCAGAGAGAGCAGTATTACTACGAAGTCATCATATCATTGACTGAATTTGATATATTAGGTCCTTTTAGGGCATCATTTATGTCTCTTCTAAACATTGATAAATTTTGTGTAAACCTGCGAAAAAACAACAATATTTATGAAATGTTTAGGACATATAATAGGACATATAGTAGGATACATATTATAGTTGCTGCTTTTTTACCTATCTCTATTTTTTGTGAGTAAATTTCTTTCAATCCCATTCATTAAATTTTCAAACCATTGGGCCATCGCTGCTTGCTTATCAACTGGTTGACTTCTAATAATATTTTCTCTTAATTGATTGAAATACTGTAAGAACAGATAAATAAAAGACGTTATATATGTACATAAAGGCTACTATATATGTATGTATATATATATATATGTAATATATAGAGTAGTCTTTCTTTTTATTATGTATTCATTTATATATATATATATATATATATATATGTATATATAATTGTGTATACATAATGAAAAGAAAATTAAGATGAAAAAAGACACTAGAAAATAAAATATTATAGGAATTACTACATTGTAAAGAAACCATCAATGTAAACTTACGTCTTCATTTAATAATATGAGACCTAATAAAGGACGAGACATGCTCCATTGATTTCTACAATCTTCAAACATTATCACATTTAAAACAGTACTTAAAATTTGTTGAAGTATTTCAGGATGCTGTTTTAAAACTTGTAAAAATAATTCTCCTCCTCCAGGAACAACTGCATTTTTCCTTCCTGGATATCCTGAAAACATATACATATAATATTAGTACTATATATTTTTTATAATTTTTTGCATTAACCCTTAATCAGGCAAGAACGGTCTCAAAAGCCCAGAAGGCATTATTTTTGCGATACTTTTTGTTTTCTTTTTCAAATGTTTTGTGATGTTAAATTTTTGGATATCGATCATATAATTTTTTCTCTAAAGTGGAAACTGGAAAGTGAAAATTTATAGGTATAAATGTATATAAACATGTAAACATATAAAAAAATTTCCATTTTTACATTTCTACCCTGGGAAAAAAGTTACATGATTGACCCTCTAATTGGACGAATTTTGCTAAGCATAAATTTTACTATCATTTTCCGATATTGAAAGTTGCAATTTGTTTCAAATTTTGTCTGAAGAATAACAGAGACATCTGAAGCCCGAACTCTCCAATTAGATAATGCTTTTTGCCTGATTAAGAATTAATACAGTTTCGTAAAAGACACGATATGTATTTTATTAATAACTGTTAAATTAATGTACCTTTTTGATAAAGTTGTTTAAACAAATATGTCACAATATGATCAAGAGTTGCACAGCAACCGGTACAAACCATAGTATCTGAAATCAGAAAATTTTATTTTTACTTCAGTTTTTATTGTCAAAAAGAAGTGAGCACAAATGAAAAATACATGCAACCAAAATACTAGCATTGCGAACTTATTAATAAAACTTACCTGCTTCTCTGTATAATTTAATACTTTGTAATTTAATAAATACAAATAATATTAATAAAAATTATTACAGAAATCTAAGTAAAGGAAATTTTTTAGATATTCTACATATATATATATATATATATATAAACACATAATTTATAATACAAATATATTATTCTATACAAAATCACAATTACTGTTATCAACTTAAAAATGTTGCTAACAGTAACTGCATAAAATCTAAAAAATTTGATTTTTATTTCATATCTATTTATAAATATTATTAAGTGTACAACTTTGCTTCCGCCGTTTTCCTATAGATGGCTTTAGCGGTAAGTGGTGGTCGAAATAAATAGATCATAGACGTCATACAATAAACTTGGGCATCTGTCAACATACCCCCACAGAAACATTAGTCGATTTGTGTTTGCATCATAAAGTTATTCTCGATTGAAAATGTCAGTTTACGAGCCAAATTCTCATCATTTGCGGGAGGTTTTAATTTTCTGCTTCAATATGAAGAAATCTGCGGCTGAGGCTCATCGAATGCTCTCAAATACTTATGGTGAGGCAGCTATTAGTGAAAGAACGTGTCGTGAATGGTTTCAACGCTTCAAGAACGGTGATTTTGACATCGAAGACCGGCATAGCGGTGAAAGAGAGAAGATGCAGAATTGGAGGCATTACTTGATCAAGACTTGTGTCAAAATCAAGAAGAATTAACACGATCATTTGGAATGACTAAACAAGCCATTTCAAAACGCCTCAAAGCCATGGGAATGATTCAGAAGCAAGGAAATTGGGTGCCGTACGAGTTGAAGCCGAGAGGTGTTGAACGGCGTTTGTTTGCTTGTAAACAGTTGCTTGAAAGGCAAAGACGGAAGGGATTTCTGCATCGCATTGTGACTGGGGACGAAAAATGGGTTCATTACGATAATCCCAAGCGCAGAAAATCATGGGGAGTTTCCGGCCATGCTTCCACGTCGACGGCCAAACCGAATATTCAAGGCTCCAAGGTCATGCTCTGTATTTGGTAGGACCAGCTCGGCGTAGTGTATTATGAGCTGTCAAAACCGACTGAAACAATTACAGGCGATCGGTATTAAACGCAATTGATGCGTTTGAGCCGAGCATTAAAAGACAAACGGCCGCAATACAACGAGAGACACGATAAAGTGATTTATCAGCATGACAATACTCGACCCCATGTTGCGAAAATGGTCAAGAGATACTTGGAAACGTTGAAATGAGAAGTCCTACCCCACCAGCCGTATTCTCCAGACGTTGCTCCCTTTGACTATCACTTGTTTCGATCAATGGCACACGGCCTGGCTGACCAGCACTTCCGGTCTTATAAAGAAGTAAAAAATTGGATCAATTCGTGGATTGCCTCAACAGATGACCAGTTTTTTCGACGCGGGATTCGTACGCTGCTCGAAAGATGGAAGAAAGTAGTGGCCAGCGATGGACAATACTTTGAATCATAAATGTATAACCAGTTTTTTACAATAAAGCCTCGAATTTCGGAAAAAAACGGCAGAAGCAAAGTTGTACATCTAATACAAAAATTTTAATATATTACATACACACAGACATACATATGCATACAGGATGTCCCTTGTAATATATATATATATATATTCAATTGAGATCATTCATACTGCCTATTAAAAATATTCAAGCATATCAATAATAATACATGCAACTCTCTGCAATTAGTACATTAGTTATTACATAAAACATACATAATCCAACTCAATGTTAATGTATTCAGCTGTGCGGCTGATTATCTATGTCAGACCCATTATTCAATTTCGTTTCAATAGAAACAGAAAATTGCATAACACTCATAGAACATATTATAGAGAATACAAGCTATGTGGTTCTTGCGTATTGCACTTATCATATTTAGGGTCCAGGCTCCACGCACTCCAATCCTCTTATAGCCAATGTTATTCATAAAGTGTTCTCAGTGATTTTCTTCATTGTGCAATGTAATAAAGTACTTGAAATATGCGTCTGTTCCTTGCATTTTGAACTGTCGCAGTGACTAATTCTATAGGCAAATTTACATTCCAAGCAGTAATGCAAAAAAGCAAATATTATAAAACCAATATAAAATTCTAATGTATAAAAAAAATTAATGTTATAATCTTAAGTGATTATGCTCGCAACAATGAAATAGATATTTATATGACTTGGGAAATATGTTCAAAGAATAATTCAAAGGAAAATTTATAATAACTTTTTAGTCCTGTACATACTTATAACATGCTCTGTTGAATAAATTCTTTTTGAAATTCTTTTTACTGTTTTAATATAACTTTATAAATAAATTATTAATGTACGTTTAATTCTGCTTATGATACATGTTAAATATCTTTAATCATCTTTCCATTTTTTATAAACTATAAAAAAATTTTTTCTAGAAACATTAACCAAGAAAAACATATTTTTTAACTCATAGATGTTCATCTAAATGTTAAAATGATTTTAATTTCAAGATATGGCATTGAGGATATAGAGTAGTAGCAAGATAGAATCAGCCGCACAGACCTGTATAGAAGTCTTTTTGCGCACCTAGTGCTGTAAGGCCTTCGCTGATACTGGAAAGGATGTACAGAAAAACCCTAGGTTCCAAAGTAGATAAAAAGACCATGTGATCTTGCGCCAGACATTCCAGTAACAAATAATATGTTGCCGACAGTTTTGGATAATGCTGTGAAAAACAATATATAAAAGTAACAATATAAGATAAATATTTTTATCATTATATAGTAATTGATTAATACTGCTGACATAATTTGATTTATCAAAAAGCAAATTATTTAAATAATAAATGAAATAAATAAAATATTGTGACTAATGTATATATTTACCAAGAGATCACTTTGTGGAATACTAAGGAGTAATTTAACAAATGTATTAAGGGCATTGTCCAACGCCTCATCACCATATAGCCTAAACACTCCAAAGTTTACGTAACTTCCGCACAAGGCTGCTTTTAACATACTGAAGCATATACTTATTCCTTTGAGTTTTAAAGGATAAATCTGATCCTTAGGTACTTCAACGTTTAATATGTGATTGCCATAGCTACATATTATTTTGCTAGCCTCGCGGAACAACAGTATCCCATTTGGAGACGATGCATCAAACTGTAATCGTTGACTCCTATTTTGTACTAACTCAGCAAATAACTTCAGGACGGGCGTTGTCACCTGTGGTTCGTGATGCCACAACTCCACAGCATGTAATAAAATCGGTGTATAATTCGGATATCTAAATTCAGAGAAAACATAGACAGTAAAGGAAAATAATTGCTTTTGGATATTCACAAATGAATAATATTTGTATTCTTTTGTATCTTATATATACGTACATCCAATCAAAAAGCATCATATAGGATGTCTTGGTGTTGAATGCATAAGCTAAGCCTCTAAGATCTCGCGCTAAACCAATCAATGCTTTCTTTGCTTCCTCTGCTGCAAAGAGAGGTGTATCTGCAGCACCCATTAATTGACCAAGGCTCTCTAATGCACCTGAAATTATATATAAAAACTTAAGTGTCAGACATGTTTAAAAAAAAATTAAATAAATTTTCTTACCTGTAAGAGGTAACATAAAGGTATGAAACCTTTCTTCGTCCTCACCTAAGTCTACCATCAATAATCTACCAAGAGATGTGTAAAACATTGATCTACAGCGCATTTCTGTCACAGCAACATTGTTTCCCAAAAATGGAAAGTGTTCTCGCTACATCAATAGAAAAAAATCTAATTATTTTTTAATTTAATTATTATAAAAGAAAGGTTGAAGTTATAACTCATTATTTATACAAAATCTTAAGCAGTAATAGGTATCAGTATATAGTACCGTATGATTGTTGAGCATAAATTGTACTTCTTCTAATTTGACGAGTTTACGAACACAACTATAACCCACTGATAAATCATTTAAAAGTTGTAGCGTCTTGGAAATAATTTGTTCACTCCTACCCCAGTACTTCAAATTCGTTATTCTGTAAATTATAATTCAGCATTAATTCGTAGCATAGGAAATTTCGTAGGTGTCATACAAATCCACTTACATCTTTCGAATAAAAATGCTGAGTACCATCGCCTCATCATTAAGACCCAACACATCAGACAACCTCCTATACACTTTAGAATTCTTTTGAACTTGATCACCAACATAAATTTTCCGAAATTGCTCAAAAAAGCTCAACATCGCTAATTCCAATTTTTCACAGCCCCCTTGCGCGAGTCTTGAGTCAGTTAGATTCATCAATTGAAGCACTCTGCAAACCAGTTCTCCATCCATAGCATCAAATTCCTCGTTACTGTTAAATGCAACTCTTCCGCCGATAACACCACCTATAAAAGATAATAAGAAAAGAATTGAGTAGTATTGTTAATATATTTTAATATATTAAAAGAAAAATGCATTAATATATTCCATTTACCTATGATATATACAAGCCATGTGAGTTGTCCCTCTTGAATTGCAATGTCAATTTGTTGCGTTGGTGACACCGTTTGCGTCATTAGCTCTTGGTATGTTCTTGCAGCTTGATCGAACAGTTGGACTAGTAAGGTGCAGGTTTTTTGATACTCGCACCTACCAATGACTGATATTTGTTCTAACTGATGATGAACCACTCCTAGATCGTCCAATGGATCCTCCAAGCGTTCTCTGACCACTACTGCTACCGACTCGAGTCTCGATGTAATGTACGCGTTTGTAACTTCCGGTGTGTACGTATTCAATAAATGTGGATCACCAGCTTTTACATATGGCATTGAAGATACCATCCTTTGCCACAAAGTCAAAAGATAATGCAGACTATTTGGCGCAAATTGCCACATTTGTAAGCTTTGCACTGTAAACTTTGCGATCAGTTGTATTGCTTCGGGATAATCCTCTACCAAAACCAACTCGCCAAGTTGGAAATTGCTCTTCAGTCGAGACAATAATCTACAAAACTCGTGATAGTTTCCTGGATCACTAAGACCCTGAGGATTCTGTAGTATATGCTTAATACCATTGACTAAGTGTGTCAGAAATTTTGCCCTTTCAGTATTGGAAAATAAACTCCGTCTAACCGACGCTATTTGAACCAGGCATGAGAGTGCCAAACACGATAACGTATTAGGTAGACTGTGATATAGATCAAAAAACAATTTCAAAGAAGTAAAATCCAGAAACGCAGGTCTCCAGCTTGTCGGGATTTGTACTGTATTAAGATCATCCGAACTTTCATCAGTTGATGTACCAATAAAGTCAAATGTCAAACAATTTTGTGCAAGCTTTAACAATTGTCTTATCAAACCGTGCTGCAGAAAACAGATATACAGGCGATGCATTAATTTATACAACGCAAACAATCATTAATTGTATGTAATTACAATATCATACCTGCGCCTCATCATTGAAATTTAAATTTTTACAATTCTCGCGAGCAGTGCTTAGTAAGGTACATGATAACCTAAATATTTCAAATAGTTGTGTGTCTCTAAAGCTACTCGCTATTCTTCTATGCTTTGTCAGAGATCTGTTTGCATCGGCTTCCGATATTTGATTCATTTCACATGTCAATTGAGAAAGCAACTGTACTCCTATCATACAATGCTCCACTGACCCCTTTAATCATTATAATAAGACATTATGAATAAAAAAATAATGTATGCACATAGAGAATGCAGCGTGTAAGGAATATTGAATAAAGTATGTCGAACCTGAAGAAACTTGGCTACATCGCTGACTACATTCCTGAAGACAAATTCCTCTTTATCAGAATCAAACCACCCAAGCTTTGATATCCTCGCGAATAGTGTAACCAAAGCCTGTATCACAAAATTCGGTAACTTTGGTTGTGTTGCTAAGTAGTTGAGTACGTAATTTCCTGCAAACATATTAAACAAATTGAAACACCCAATCTCACATCTTTAAATCTCAAGAGACACATATTTTTTATCTCACATAGCAAAACGGAATGGACTGTCACTTACGTATATCAAGCCTCTGTTGTAAGCTGAGTGTTGTTGTAAGTTGTCCCTGTGCCGAACGTGATACCAGCTTTGTCAAGGTGGTAGCGGCCAGTAATTGAGCGTACGCAGAGTCCCCGCGGTCCAGGAGAAGCTGGCACTTCGTAAGAGTATCTGGTGCATTCTGGAAAGCGACCAAGGCCTTTTCCGCCTCTGCGCGATGCGCTGAATCCTGCGACTCGTACAATTGCTTGCATAGCAACTCCAGCTGCCGTACTTCCTGTATGTGATCCATTCTTAGTCACACTGTTTAAAGCCGTTTCTTAAGACTTCCATTTAGGTACAAGTCTAAAAAAGTTTCAGTAACAATATATCCACTTTTTACGGTGCCACGTAAATCTTTATTGGCGACTTGTCGTTACTGTCCAAGACATTTACAATACAGATTTTACAATACAGTTGCATTATGCCGGCAGTTTCAAATTTACTTAGATGGATATAAAAGAAAAACCTGAAGACAGTTTCATTTCTTTTGTATACAGGGTGGTGCATAAAATATTGGATTATTTAACTCGAAGTAATAGCGAATTCGTCACTTGCATTGATATTTGTTACATTAATGTATATACATATACTGAAAGCTACTATAGGTACATGAAATTAGCAAAATGTAGAAGCATGTAAATATTTTAAATACCCTATGACATTGTCACGTTATTTAATAAAATCTACACACACTATTTTATTGTCAAAATTGATTATATCACACCATTGTATTTAAATACTTTATATTAAATAGTTTTTAATATGCGATCCAGTGTAGTACAAGTGACCGAATTTATCGCATAAAAGGTCATAAGATTTCAAGATTATATCATCGTCAAAGTATTGATGACACTTTTTTAAGCTGCATTATACACATCTGCATGTTGGTATTAAATATTGAAAAAATTCCAATTATGTACTTATTCTGTACTAAATTCTTTTAAGTGGAACTCACTCTAAAGAGTAAAAATTGAGTCTTAAAAAAAAGTAACTTTAAGAGATTTTACTCTTCAGAACGAGGCTCATTCTAAAAGTTTTAGAGCATTATATCAGTAATAAACATAAAAAAGACAAACATTATGATGTTTTGTATGCCCCACCCTGCGATAAACAATGAATTCTACCCAATTCGTTGAAATTAGCATAATGTTTTATTAAATACTTTACAAACACATTTTTCAAGTTACATTAAGTAAACAGGGAACATATTTTATGGAATCGACTAATTAAAACAAAAATTGTCTGAGATAATTAGTATATATGGTAGTTTTAAACAAATGTACCAGAAAGACGAAGGAACGATGAGATAAACAGCTTAAGGAGAATCCCACGTGTTTAAATAGCGTAACTTATAAATTATAAGAAATTTACATGTGTTTTACACACATACATACATACACACATACACGCACACGTACCATGTGCGATAACGGAATAGAAAAAAAATAGATTGAGATCTCTGTCCTGCAGAAAAACGCTCGTCGCGTCTATTTTGCCGATAGAATTGCGCACGAGATGTTGTCGTCGGATGAGGTATTACAACAATGTTCCAGAAACGTGCCAGCTGACGCGCGGGACTCTACACGAGATTTCGCAGGCCGCGACAGGTTATACGCAAGCGACAGGTTGTAAATAAACGCACACTATGATGGAAATGGAGAATTCGGTCGATTTAGGAGCCAAATGTGGTCAGGTATCATTCTCGCTGGATGAACGCTCTCGCAAGCTTCGCGGCTTCCGTTACGCGGGTGTATCCCCCGGCGCGGTGACGGCAGCGTACAAACAACGCACACGAAGATAAACAACGTCGACGGCGACGCAGTCGCGCCCCAAAACGCGGCGGAGTCACCGCACTTTTTTTTTCTCATTTACATCGCGCCATGCGAGCTTTCACGCTTTGACGCTCGTCGTAGGAGGAATCGTAACCGGAATGCGCCGTCCACCAACGGCACCAACCGCACGATCAGCAATTTGCACTCGGCGGCTTCACCGATTCTGGCACCACACAGCACACTGTGACACTATGGATCAGATGATTTTTCTGATCGGCCGTTAATTAATCGTTGGATCAGCCGGTGTTCGCGTTCACAAGAAACTCTCTCAGTTTGACAAGCGTGGCGAAACTGAGAGCGACCAAACGGTGTGACGCAGCGGCGCGCGATCGGCAACGATCTGCGATCAGTACTATCAGTAGGCGATCGAAGCGGCAGCGATTATTAAACCGAAGTCCGCGTCGTACGGTATCGTTTTGTCAACAGCACGCGAGAGAAACGGGACTCCTCCTTGGAGCGAGGATCCTCTCCCGGCACGGCTCTCCCCGCGAAATTCGAGAAATCCGGCGAATGCGCGCGGACGCGCCGCACATACGTACGTCGGACGTATCCACGCACGCATGAACGCGGAAATCCGGCGCGGATTCCGCCGGTGGGTCGCGGCCGCTTGCGCGACGCCCGCTCTGTAATGCGATTAATAGCGTTGCGTCACGCGCGGGATGAGACGTGTTTATTCTCGTCGGCGACTCACCTGTTCGTCCGCCATTTTTCGCCAGTCTCGTATTATCTACAGTAAAGCTAGGATCACATGCCAGCCTCCGTCTGGCCGCTGGCGTCTGCGCCCACCTTCGGCGAATGTTTACATCGACGTTCTACGTTGCACGCACCCTGCGCCTGCCTGTGTGGGTGTGTGCAAATGCGCGCCATCTTTGTTTTACTGAGTGCACTATACGTACATGAAAATGCGCCCTGCGAGTGGATGATTTTTTTATTTTTTAGTTTTTCGGCGACTTTAAAGAAATTTCAATTAATTTAAGGTCATGGTACACACAAAAAAAATTAAATAATAAAACGTTAGCAGTATGCGAATTGACCGATCACAATAGAGACCGTAAGGTCATAATTTAGCTGATTTAGCAAATCGAACATGTTGAGATTTTGTTACGGCTCGATGGCGACTGTAGCGCAGTGCCAGCCCGCAACAATTATTCGAATTCGGCGATTACCGCCACCTGCTGATTTAAATGTTTTAGAAAATTCGATCTTCCTTGAATAGAAATTTACCGACCAATCGGGTGCCCGCCGCGTGAAGGTATCTCGTAAATGGGAGGATCCCGTTTGCCTACAGTTCTGATTGTATACACCACTCATATCAACTGGTGCCTAGTAATTTTTTACTGTTTTACCAATGAGATTATTTTATTTTTAAATTGGCCAATCAGCGATACACGTGTGCAATATGCGATTTGTGCAATCGGAGCCCTCCCCTCGTAAATCCACAATATTTTACGACGAGGATTACATTAGACGCGTTCCTGCGAAATAGCCACCATTGGTAGCTTCAGGAGCGTTCCACGGTTGGTCGCCCGTTCCAACCAAGTAGACGACAAATCGCGCGCGTACCTCGGTGCAAATCTCGCAGCTCCCGACTGGCCGTCCGATAGTGAACGTCAGGGAACAGCGGGCGCATTGGTCGAGACAGTTGGGTGCACCGAGGTGTAGAGAGTGGCGGTTGGTGAGACTGTACTCCGTTCGCGCGTGCGGCAACTCCAAGTTGAAGCAGCCCTCGCAGAGGATTTCCTTGCTAATGCGGTTCAAATAGATGCTTGACTTCGCACAGAAAGAATTATTAATCCATGCGCGATACGCGTCACTGCCCACGCCCCTATTACGCGACTCTAACGTTACGATACGAGGGCACATAACAAGGGATCGCGCTATATATCGTCTCGAATAGAGCCAATCAGTGACGCAGGCAAATAGTTGACGCGGCGTTTACGGGCGGCGCTCCTGCGACGCGGATACTTGCAGTACACGATGAACGAGCGGCGTGGCTATGTTGACGGCATCTCTGTGGCCACGGCGTACCACTGATTATGCGCGAGCCGAAGATGCGCCACATGGTGACGCAGTGGAGTAACGCTACTATATCAAATATGGCGCTGCGCCAAAATAGCCACGTGGTGTTGCACGGAGTCTCTTAGGGCCTGAGCACAATAGAGGAACAGGAATTAGATATTAAGATTTTAACCTATCAGAAACTGATTACATCGGAATACACGGTTTCTGATAGGTTGAAATCTTAATATCTAATTCTTGTTCCTCTATTGTGCGCAGGCCCTTACCTTCGTGAGGAGGCTTAACGACAATGGTCGCGTTCAGCAGACTCAACTGTTGTGGAGCGGATCCGTGAGCGCTCGCTGCTATTGGATGATCTAGAAGAATACACCAATAACAGCGAGTGCTCACGGATCTGCTCCACGACAGTTGAGTCTGCTGAACGCGACCATTGTGATACATCAATCGCTGCGGTCCCCGGCAGTCAGCGAAATCCAGTCCTTCTCTCGTGCGGCAGCTTGGCGGTTTTCTCGTAACTTACTCACTCCCGGTAATTCAAATAAGAAGACAGAGGATGCTGGGAGTAAAGCGGGGAGCACAGACTCTTGCATAACGCATAACACATGAGGCATAAGAAATTGAACCAACCAGAGTTCTTTATTACATGGAAAGGAAAGAAACGGAGAACTTCGATTGGTACATATTTTTATGCATTACGTGTTATGCGTTATGCAAGAGTCTGTACTCCCCGCTTTAGGGTATATCCACACAACTTGCATAGCCGCATAAACATATACGTAAAGAAAATTATCCAATTGCAGTTCTCTTTTAAAGTCGTACATAAAATGTGATTGGATAATTTTCTTTATGCATACGTTTATGCGGCTATGCAAGTTTATGTGGATATACCTTAAGGACCATTCCACACAAACTTGCATAGCGCATAAACATATTCATAAAGAAAATCATCCAATCGTAGTTTACGCTTGGCTTTATGACAGAAATGTGATTGGATAATTTTCTTTATGCACATATGGTTATGTGATTCTGCAAGTTTGTGTGGAATGGCCCTAAAGCCGTAATCACACTAGCGATTGGCGATTGTGATTGACGATTGAGGATTACTTTTCAACCAATCAGAGCCTGAAAGTCACCGATTTCTTTGCTCCGATTGGTTGAAAAGTAATCCTCAATCGTTAATCACAATCGCCAATCGCTAGTGTGATTACGGCTTAACGGAGGAAGTGCGAAAATGATTCTTCGGAAATTCGTGACGCGTTCGCATGTGCTTTATTGGTTAATACTAAAGATATAATAGTTACACAAAATTCAATATAAAATATAATAATCACTTATGAGCTGATGCAAAGATATAATAATTGCGCAAAATCCAATATGAAAATATAATGGTTACGTAAGA